AAATTAAAAAGCTGAAATGAGAGGCAACACATGTTTATTTGGGATCACAGAACTGCATTTTGGAAGCATAGATTCAGGGAGAAAACCAAATAGTATCCCAATTACAGGAGTAAGACATGGAATTTTTATGAGAAAAGGAAAATAATTACATGAAAAGAAGAAAGAAATTTCTATTGATGTTAACAAGCTGAGTTACTCTTTAGGTATACATGGCTGATTATTCATTCTATCTTCAGATAAAGAGCATGTATTCATTAGTTCTTATGGTCAGGATGTCTGCCTTTTTTCTGGCTTTATAAAAAATTTGTTTGGAAGACACTGTTGATTTGGCTCCGTCCAAATGTCCCTGAGGTTCAAGGAGCAGGATGCTCAGGCAGTTCCTCTGGAATGGAGGCTCTTGCTCTGGGTTAAAGTGGCTCCACCTCTGTCAGTTTTCCAGTCCTTAGGTATTGTTTATGATCAGAAACAATTTTGAAGAAATTAATTCCAAGTGTGTTTGCTTCCTGGCCATCTTTTGTCCTCCCAGTGACACCTTGACCTTCTTCCTTATATGAGCAATGAGTGCAGACCAGGCACTGTATTTTAAGAAAGAAAAGGAAAGAAAAAAGAAAAGAAAAGAAAAGAAAAGAAAAGAAAAGAGGAAAGGAAAGGAAAGAAAAAAGAAAGGAAGGAGAGAGAAAGAAAGAAAGACAACATAAAAAACTAGTCATACTCATGAAAGCAAGTTATCTTTCAAGCATGAAAGAAATTACTGTTGTGTTGTGTGTGTATGTGTTCATAGTTTCTTTATGGCATTAAACATTTTACTTCAAGACATTATTTTGGACTGCATGAATTGGCTCTTTTTGGAGATAGTAGGGGTGGAATTTCTTTTTTTTTTAAGATTTTAGTTATTTACTTTCGGAGAGAGGGGAAGGGAAGGAGAAAGAGAGGGAGAGAAACAACACTGTGTAGTTGCCTCTTGCATACCCACTACTGGGAACCCAATCTGCAACCCACACATGTGCTCTGACTGCGAATAGAACCTATGACTCTTTGGTTCACAAGCCAGTACTCAATTCACTGAGCCATACCAGCCAGGGCAGAAGGGGAATTTCTTGAAATAAGCTTTCTCCATGACCTATATGTTTTTAAGGAAAATGTTAAGTCATTGATGATGTATTTAAAAAGTTTTTCCAGCAACTCTACCCTCCTGGACTGGAAATGAACATGCCAAATCACACTTAGAAATCATTTGGAAGGTATTCCAGGTCTAAGAATATGGAAAGAAGGCCATTTAAGGTAGTGGAGCCTCACAGCTGCCCATGTGTGCCTGGCACAGTGCTTCAGCCTCACCTAAGAGCTCCAGAGAAACAGACCTTAAGCCCAGGGGTGTCAAACTCATTTTCATGGGGGGCACATCAGCCTCGTGGTTGCCTCCAAAGGGCTGAAATAATTTTAGGACTGTATAAATGTAACTACTCCTTGTTAAGGGGTCAAAATTACATTCAGCATTTTGAAGGCAACTGCGAGGCTGATGTGGCCCCTGGTGAAAATGAGTTTGACACCCCTGCTCCAGCCCCACTCAGACCATCAGATTAGAATAAAACCCACAGGTGATTCTCATGCACATTAATATCTGAGAAGCACTGATCTATAAAGCACAGCAGTCTCCAAAGTTTCATTTATATAATCATTGTTAAAAGAAATAATAAACTGCTTCATTGCTATTCTTCAAGTTAAAATTAGGTTCCCACATTTAAATAACTTTAAGGTTTCCCCTACAATAATTTATGATATCATATTGCTATTTAAAAGATACTGTGACAAATATTAGTTTTTAAAAATGTGTTTTCACAGATTTTCCCTATGTGGAAAGTGGAGATGTGGGTGTATTTTTGGCAATCTCCAGGGGAAGCTACTATGCAGGGCAGAGAGCCCTGGTCTCAAGAATTCCTGATTCTCAGGCCTCAGGTCTTGGTGGGATTCAGAACCAAGGTGCCTAGTATGTGTGTGTGTTTACATAAATCTAGCTCTGGTTCCTTTAAAGCATGTGGATCCCCCTGTGGGCAGATCCATGTGAGGGCTTCTTTCCTGCCTTATCTTGTTGCCCCTGGTTCTTAGTTCTCAGCTCTATCTTTGAAGAGTCATTCCCCAGCTCTGCCTGCTTCACTCACTAATCATTTCCTTCCATACTTCTGGTCTCTTTCCAGCTTGCTAGTCTTTCTGGAACTCAGGAGCCTGAAAATAGTACCCCAGATGTGTCTACCTCCCTGCCCAAGACATTCCTCAGAGATAGCCCGAAATAACACCTGCCTCTTCTTACTGGGACTTCAACATTTACAGGCAGCTTTGAATTTTTTGAATGAAAAAATTATGGAATAGCTAAATTAGATATCAAAAAGTCCAGATCACTGACTGATTTTCTACAAAGCCAAAGGTTATACTCTCCAGCCCTGGAGAATGGCTAAAAGAGGTATTTCAGGGCTATTTCTGAGTTTGAGCACAAAGCAGGTGGCAGCCCTATTCTGCCATATTTGCTTTAAAATTACCTACAAATGCTTTTTGCATGAATCATATTAAATATCAAAAAATAATTAATTTAACAAAACTAAGCTTATTCTATAAAAAAAGTAAGAGTAAATTAATGTATTCAAAAAATTCTGGTCAAATAATTTGCCACATAATTTAGGGAACATGCATATTTCACAAGGGAGCCAATCTGGATTTGAGAATACAGCTGCTGGCCAGCCTCAATGAGCCCAGACCCCTGTACCTCTTGCTAAGTGGCCCCAGGCTTGGCACTAGCAGCAGCCAGCCTAGATTTACAGCTTAGCTTTGCCTGGGGATCTCCAAGCCCAATACTAGTAGCAGCCATCTCAGATTGCTTTATAGCTCAGGCAGTGTGGCCCCGGGCAAAACACAGGTGGGGGCTCACCTTGGCCTGCACCATCAAGGTAACCCCAGAGACTGCACACCCAGTGAACAGCTACAGACCACCTTGGATCACCACCACCATGCCCCCAGAAGAGCTGATCCTCCATGAAGAGTGGAGGTTGGTGGTCAGTGGTCACAGCCAGGCCTTGCAGATGACTAGGCTAGGAGAATCCTTCCCATTGACCTACCAACAGCAATCAAATCTCAACTACAAGAGGAGGGTGTACTCAGCCCACCTGAAGGGTGAACCTCAAGTATCTAGCTTGAGTGATAGGGGAAGCCATTCCACTGGACCATACAGGACACTTACTATCTTAGGCCATGCAACCAAGACAGGGAGTCATAGCAGCTCTACCTAATACATAGAAACAAACACAGGAAGGATGTCAAAATGAACAGATAAAGAAACATGGCCCAAATAAAAGAAAGAACTGATCAAAATTCCAGAAAAAGATAAACAAAATAGAGATAAGCAATCTATCAGAGTTCAAAACACTGGTTATAAGGATACTCAAGAAACTTAGTGAGAACTTCAGCAGCATAAAAAAGAGCCAGTCAGGAATGAAGGATATACAAATTGAAATAAAGAACAATTTACAGGGAATCAACAGTAGAGTAGATGAAACCAAGAATCAAATCAATGTTTTGGAACATAAGGAAGCACAAATCAACCAATCAGAACAAGAAGAAAAAAGAATAAAAAAACAAGGATAGAGTAGGTAGCCTTTGGTACAACTTCAAGCTTTCCAACATACACATCATAGGAGTGCCAGAAGGAGAAGAGAGAGAACAAGAAATTGGAAAACTATTTGAAAAAATAATGAAAGAAAACCTCCCCAATTTGGTGAAGGAAATAGATATGTAAGTCTAGGAAGTACAGAGAGTTCCGAATAAGATGGTTGCAAAGAGGCCCACTCCAAAACACATCATAATTAAGATGTCAAAGGTTAAAAATAAAGAGCAACAAGAGAAAAGCAGTTAGTTACCTACAGGGGAGTCCCCATAAGACTGTCAACTGATTTCTCAAAAGAAAAGTTGCAGGCTAGAAGGAACTGGCAAGAAACATTCAAAGTCATGAAAAGCAGGGATCTATGGCCAAGTTTGTTTACCTAGCAAAGCTATCATTTAGAATGGAAGGGCAGATGAAGAGCTTCCCAGACAAGAAAAAAATTAAGGGAGTTCATCACCAAACTATTATTTTATGAAATGTTAAAGGAACTTATTTAAGAAAAAGAAGGTCAAAAACAATAAAATGGCAATAAATACATATTAATCAACAACTGGATCTAAAAAACAAACTAAGCAAATAGGAAAAACAGAAACAGAATCATGAATACAGAGTGTTTTGATGGTGGCCAGAATATGAGGATAGTTTGGGGGAATGAGTGAAGAGGTGAGAGGATTAAGTACAAATAGATAGTTACAGAATAACCATAAGGGTATAAATGCAGTATAGGAAATGGAGTAGCCAAAAAACTTACAATTCATGATCCATGGTCATGAACAATGGTGGGGGTATTGCCTGAGGGACTGGGCATTGCTAGGTAGAAACAAGCAAAAGGGGAAAATTAGGAAAAATATAATGGCACAATAAAAAATATATAATAAAAAAAGAGAATATGATGCTGGAATTACTTATCTACAGGGTGGGGCAAAAGTAGATTTATAGTTGTGACTACACAAAAGAATTTATGCTTCACCCTGCATTTTATATCTGTCTGCTTGCTGGGTTTAGGGACTTTTGGTCAGTTCTTAGGTAGTCCTTAAAGAAGACACTCCTTAAAGAAGAAACAGAAGCAGTTTTCTATTTGCCATCTCATGCCTAGAAAGCAGCTGTGCTGGGTTCCGCTTTCTATTTCCCAATTCACTGAGGTCTTTTCACCCGCAGCCAGGCTTGCCCTCACTCAGGGTCCTGGGCTGAGTGGTCCCTGCAGTCCATAATATTCTTCCCTACTTGACACTTCACTGATATGGTTTTTAATCTGCATTGAGCCCTAGAACAGGAAGGCATGCCAAGCTGGCACAGTGAGAAAACCAATGTAAACATGGGAAAAGCATTAAATGATTGCCTTGAACCTTGAGTTCCCAGGGAGGAGGACTGAAAATGCCCAAGGTCCTGGATTCATTCAACTTCTTCCACAAATATCTGGGATGGTGAAGGGACCCAAAATCAAGGTGAGGGGGCAGGATAATTTGCCAGGAAATACAGTTTTCAGGAAAGGGCTAAAAATATAAAGATTAAAAGAACTTTATGTGACCTTGATGACAATATTCTCATTCAAGAGCAGGCTTAAAAATTAAACTTTTACTGGAAAGCTATAAAAATAACTTTCATTTGCATTTTAAAGCATTTTAAATGCTTTAAAATGCAAATTATCAAGATTTAAATTTTTTTTCAATTTGATGTAGGAATTTAAAACTGGAACAGGAATCTACTTTAAATTGTTTTGGAGAAAAGTTTTGATGTAAACGAATAAATATAATATTTTATTCTAAGTACTATTAAACAAGCTAAATAGATTTTTTAAAGCTTTTAAAAAATTTATAAAAAAACATTTCAAAAAAGAAAAAAGAACAACACATTTTAATATATTGTTAATTCTCCATTATGTAGTTTGCCTTTGGTGTGCAAAGGACAAGTTGAGACTCTGAGCTGGCGTCCTCATTGCCAACTCACACATAACCCCTTTCAGCTGTCTTTTCTGCTTCAGGCAGCTGGGACATGCCCAGGACAGAAAGCAGAACTCTGCTTTCAGGGCAGCCAAGACAAGGCTGCTGATGAAATAAACCAGCACACTGGGCCCCACATGTAATCCTTACTTTCTTAGACCAGGGCCATCCCAGGGAAGGTCAAGGTCCCAGCATACTGGATCAGCTCCAGCTCCCCATTTGCTATTAGAGCCTGGATCCCCTGTACCACCCAGCTGGACCAGGGCAGCATGCTGGCTGGTAGGTGAGTGTGAGACCCATGGGGAAGGTGCTCCTTTTGCAGGGTCCTCACCACTGCTCCATGTCCATCTGCCCCTGGGATACAGCCCTTTGCTCCTGCATCCCACCTGGGTTGAAGCCCAGCCAGAATTGGGCCTTCATCAGTCCCACAGGGAGCCCAGGTGCTTTCTACCCAAAAGAAAAGGAGAATTTCTTTCTGAATAGATTGTTTTCTATTTAGCTTTGGAGAATGTGCCTGCCAGGGGTGGCAACTCATTGGTCTGTTTCAGGAGTGTTTAGTGTTTTCCTATCTCCCTTTAGCCTATAGTTTCAAATCTTCCTAGTACATGGAAATACTTAAGGAGTTTTAAAACCTATGTAGGCACAGGCCTGAAATTGTAATTTAATTGATCTAGGGTAATGCAAAGGCTAGCTTTGAAAAGATCCCAAGGAATTTTCACATGAACTTCAGCTGAGCTTGAGAAGTCCTCTCGAGCATCTCTGGGTATCTATGGACAATGTCAGCCATATGCTTGGGGCCATCTGGCCAGTCTCCAGAGGCTCCAAGTCTTCACTCTTTTTTCTGGTTGTGACCATTTTCTTGGGTACCTCCGCCTGCCTGGTATCTCCACAGTCCTGCTCTCTCCCACCAGGCATATCTGTCTCTGCCTGTCATCAATACCACTTCCATAGGCTTTGTACTTGCTCAGAAACCACCATCGAGCTAACAAAGCACTGTCTTCTGGGTCACAGGCCTTACGCCTCAAAACTAATAGTAACAAACCTTTCACAATCCTCCTCCTATGCACCAGAACTGTTCTAAGCATTTTACATATATGACATCATTTAATCCCCATAACAACCTTATGAAGTAGGCACTATTATTATCATAATTTATAGACGAGGAGACTGAGGTGCAGAATAGTTAGATAAAATGGTAACAAATTCCAAAGAGGTACCCCCAGATCCCATCCCCTGGTTACTCAAACACTAATATAAATACTGCTGACCAAGGAATTTTGCAGATGGACTTAAAGTCCCAAGTCAATTTCCCTTAAAGTTCAGAAATCTACCCAGGTAAATCTGATCCAGTTCGATGAGTTCTTTAAAAACAGATTTTAAAATTTACAACCAGAGAGGTTGTAGGCACAATAGGACTCAACATGCTACTGCTGGCTTTGAATGGTAAGGAGAGTGTGTGACACAGTATGGGTGGGCACTAAGAAGACAGAGAGGCCAGAGACTGACTGTAAAATGGAACCTCAGACATATAGTCACAAGAAGCAGGATTCTGTTAAAACATTAATGACCTTGGAAGTGAATTTTTCCCCAGAACCTCCAGATGAAAGCCAGCCAACCTGACATTACAACCTTGGCCCTATCAGGCACAGGAGAGCAGAGAACCCAGGCACACCCTGCAGGACTTCTGACCTACAGAACTCTAAGCTAGAAGGTAGGTGTTGTTTTTAGGCTCTAAGGTAATTGGTTACAACAGAAAACTAGCCAGACAGTGAGCAAGTAAACCAAGATTTAAACTCAAGGAACATGGGTTGAATAACATTAAAATTCCATATCCAGTGGCTCTGAGTAGCACTGAATGATACACCCCATGCTGTGCCGACCCTCTCAGGACCTCCTGACAGAGGCTTTGTCATAAAGTTGAAGGTGTGGATCTGATCGTCTACCTCCTCCTCCTGAAGAAGTCTCTAGGATCAAGATGGCAGTGGAGTAGGTGAAAGTTACACTCATCTCCTCCCGGGACCAAACTGGAATTACAACTAAAATATAGAGCAATCAACCTGAGTAACCAACTGAAGAAGTCTCCAGCAATCTGCTTAATTCCAAGGCAAAAACTCTCAGTAGTTTTGCATGAGGTTTCCCAGGGTCAAGGCAACTGGGACTTAGGCTGGGACATGATACCTGTGTACACAGGTGTATAGTTCTCCTTGTCAGTAATGTATAACTCAGTGGGAAGAAGACCAGGGTATGCAAACAGGACCACACTTGGTCTGCATTGGAGACCTCATCAGGTATAAGTTCCTTTCTTTGGATTCTTTTCCTACCTTCAGTAGCACAAATCCCTGGGATGCTTACATGTTTTTCTTTCCCACAAAACAGATACCAGTAAGTATGCAACAATTTTTCTCTCTAAAGCTCTAAAGGATTTTATTTAAAAACTTTTTAAGCTGAATGACAGCTTTGCACCAGATAAGAATCATTATCTTCATGTCACATCTGGACTGAGGTGAGAACTGCAAAGGAAGACTGAGGCACACAACCAACAAGGGGGAGCTAGGTTTCTACATGGGGCTCTCCAGCATCAAAACCACTCATTGAAAGAAAAGGCCTGCCCTTAACTTGTATTTAAAGCAGCCCTGGCAGTGTGGATCCTCCCAAGGCATTGGCTTCACCAGAGTCCAACCAAATGGCTCAGAGCTCCTTGCAACGTCAGGATGAGATGACTCCCACTTTAACTGGCTATGCTGCTGTCACACACCTACACCTCTGGTCACATCATCAACATCAAATCCATTCATTGATAAGTGCTGACACATGTGGGATCCCACAGCCTTAACACCAATTAAGTTAAAATCCTGAGACAAAAACCATCTTTGTGTGAATTCATCCTTAATCATACTTAATTAGTAAAATTAGAGAAAATATATTACAACAATTTTCTGAAATTTCTATGAATCGCTTTCTGACAGAGTAAATGTTTACCACATGCGAATATAAGAGATTTGTTGTTATTGTCAAGAAAGCTTACATAGATAAAGCATTTCTGGATGTTGTTATAGTTCAGTCAATGACGATGACTATTTCTTAATAATGTCCATGAATCTGACAGTTAAGTCATATTCAGATTAAAATCTAGTTTATTCCTTCACTTGAGAGCAAAACCTTGGCTAATAAAATGACCAGGTTTTTCTTTTCTACTATATCCTAAAGTAAAGCTTGTGAATTTGTCATATAGAAACAAAAGGGAAGAAAGGGAGCAGGAGGAAATGGGACATTATGGCATGTTCGAATGTGTTCTGGGCTAAGAATTTGGAAACCCAAAATTTTGGACATAGACCCTGGCTGTGTCCACCACCCCCAACTATGATAACTTGGCTCTCTGAACCCCAGTCTCTATATATGAGATGAAGATAATATCTAAAGCACTGTACAAATTTGTTGTGATTAATAATCTTTTTAAACTGAGCAGTAGCAGTGCATAATTGTCCTAGGCTAGGGTGGCTATAAGTCTTTTGTAGGAGGCTGCTCTGACCTAGCCTCAGTTTTCCAAGTAACTCCCTTTCTGTTTTGCCTGCAGGGCCCTTTCTGTCAGTGTAACGGTGAGATGCTTCTATTCCTGCAGAGGTCATTGGTGTGGAGGTACCCACTGCAGTGGTGTGATTATCTGCCCCCAAGAGACTATGGATCCAGGAAGATCACAAAATACCAATGTGAGCATTTCAAAGGCTGGGAGAATGTGTCATCCAGCAAATGCCCAGCATTCATCACACAGAATGCTTGATAAAGTGATTAATAAAGCAATTATCAAAGGAAGAGCTTTTTATCCTCAAATGGAGCACAGAGTCAATGATCAGGCTAGGAAAAGCAATCATTGAAATATTTCTTTTAGTTTCTTTAGGAGGTTGTTAATCAGAATTTCTGTCTCTAGGAAATCAGACCTCAAGTAAAACTTTTCTTAAGGTATTAAGTGAGAGTTGAGCTATGTCAGATACCTCCCTGAACATGTAAGAATGCATATTTCATCAGTGAGTAAAATTTATTCATTTTCTCACAGATTCCACCAGGCCATGATGAATCAGGCTATTGATTTTTCTCCTAAAGTTCTAGTGTTCTGTAAATTTATCCATTTGATAAATATTCACTGAGTTCCAGGCAACATGGTAAGCCAAATATTTACTTCAGTGAAGCTGCCAATGATCAAAACATTTTCAGACATTCTTCATTTGTTTTCAGGGCCTGAGGTATGTTAGTTATCTAACACCTTTCATCCACAGGCCAGTGTTCCAATTTGGTGTGATTCAGCCCTGGTAAGAACAAGACATGTGTGGGCTCTCCTAGCAGGGGCTCAGCAGGGACCTGGAAGGTCAGTATCCACCACAACCACATAAAGATGTGGAGACTTGGAGAAATGAGTGACATTCACAGAGTCAACATGCTACCTCTAAGAACTCAGACTCTTGCCCTTTGACACCCAATTCAGTTTTTTTTTTTAATTCAGTACACCAACATCTTCAACAGTGACCTTAGGAGAGGACTTGATATTTTGGAAACATTCATTGAAAACTAGTTACTATAAATAAGGTGGTTCATAGGGGGTACATATTGTTTGTTTTGTTTTTAATAAAATCAAGGCACTGACTCTCAGGAAATGAACCACATTTTCTTGGGTGGCTAAGGAAGTGGCTATGTAGACAGTTCTGGAAAACTGGTTCTAAATTTTTGTGAGCAGGGTCAATTTCTCTAAAAGAAGCACATGTTTTTCTCTAGGACTGATTAGGAGGAGTGGTGCATTTTTGCAGGATATAGAAGGATCAAGTTAGTTCAGGAATCTCAGTTCTGTAGCCTAGGCTTCATTTTCCCTTGAGCATACACAGATCATTGCATTTGTTGTTTACATTTAAAACAGACAACAGAACATGGGGCCTTGGATTCAATGACCACATAAACAACAATAATTTTTGCAACAAATACACAAAACAAATATATACAAATCAAACAAGCACAAGTTACAATCAAACAACCCTAACAAGAAAAATAAAAGCTCTAAACTCAACTCAATCAAGAACCAGGAATAAGGCCTTGTAAATTAAGAGAACTCACTAGGCCTTCCCTTTCTCAGGGCTGTACCATGAGAATAGGAATGAGGCAGCTTAGACTACCCTCACATAGTCCACCTTCTCCAAACACCTTATAGTGAATAGAGTAAGCAAGAAACCCTTGGTAGTGCTTTCCAGATAAGAATTGCAGCTCTCTGGCCTCTCTGTGCTGGAATCAAGCAGAGAATGTTAAGTAAGCAAGTCAGGAAGGATTTGAGCCTATACCTCACTGTGGTTGCTATCTGATCAAGCTGAACCATTTCACCCTCAGGGGTAAACACAGAATGCAGAGAGTAGGAAAGCTCAAATTCACAACCTTTTATTTCCTAACTTAACTTTTATTCCCATGGCTAAAATCTGGCATACCCTCAAGATTTCTACAAGCCATAACTATAAAAAAACAGCAAGCAATCTGCAACTGACCATTTTGCAGGAGGAAGGAAAGAGCTTACACAAATATCAAAGGTAATCTTTGACTCTTGGCACACTAGTGTTCATTTGATTTTGTTCATGACCTGCATCTGGAAACACTGTAAGGTAAATTTATATGCAGTGAGATTGTTGGAAGTTCTGTGGAGACACAGTCCAGTGCCAAGTAAATCACCACACCAGGTTTTATCATCCACGACCCATGAAACTCAGTGAAGGAAATAAGCATTTCTAAATATCAAGGCTGATAGTGAAGGAAATGGGTGGATAAAATAAAGCTGGGAAAATAACACAGTAATAGTTATCATCTAGCAAACAAAGTTTGTTAAGCCCTTGCCATTGGAAGAAAGCAGTTACTAAACATTAGGCTAGATTAGCAATTTTTAACCTTTCTCATCTCATGGTACACAAAAACTAATTGCTAGAATTCTGCAGCACAACAAAAAACATATTATATTTTTTGCTGATCTAACAAAAAAGTAGGAATAATTTTAATTCATTCATGCTGGACAGCTATGATTGTGTTGGTTATTGTCTTTTTTTATTTGACAATTAAATAAGGAAAAATAGGTGAGTGTCCCTGACTAATAGTCAGTTATTGCCTGTTTTAAAAAGTCTTGCAGCACACTGGTAGAAAATCACGGGGCTAGATGTTGACAACCGAAGATCAAAGCATACACAAGAGCTCTGCTACAAAGAATTCATCTGAAGATGTGCTGGAAACCAAAAATGTTGACAGGCCCAGATTAGCTCTCTGAGAACCAGAGGATAGGTAGGTTTCAAAAGGGTTTTCTCTCTTCTCTCTGGGAATGGAAGATTCTAGAATCAATGGATGATTTGCTCTTTCTTTTATTATTGACATCAGTGATTACAAGACAAGACACTGACAGACAAGACACTGTAAAATGTAAGAGAATTTTCAATAGTCCCTTTCATTTAGAAGGCCACACAATACTCTTCACGAGAAGGCTAAGAATCTAGACAGCTGGACATGCCCACGTCATTCCTGTCCTCAGCTGGGGTTATATGGCTCACTAAACTGCCCAAGCAGGACCATTTTAGTACTTCCTCAACTCCCCACTACCACACTCACTACAACTCCCTGGAGGGCCACTGGGAAAATGAGCCCTGGACCCATACCACAATTGCAGCATTGCCACCAAGTCAAACACTGACCCTCCCCCAAAAGGGAATCAATCACTCTTTCACCTGTTCCTGGTTTCACCAGCTACTACTCATAAAAAAGCTCCATTGTCAAACCAACCTGTTGTCTCCAGATTGTTTGAACCCAAAACCTATTACTTCCTTAACTCCAAGTACATTGGCTATGCTTCTGGAACACTATAATTATATGGCCTTACGTCTTCAACTTCCTCAGTGTCCCTTCCTTACCTGAGACTTGTTCTCAGAGGGACCTATATTTCCTTCTTTTACTTTTCACTTAACTTAGGAGTGAGAAGTGGGGACAATGTCTTTGCTTCCCCATGCCACCCACGTTTACCTACTGCTCTTCACCTTTGCAGTGACCCTGACCTTGCCTCAGTTTTAAAAAGAAAAATAGTGATCAACTAATTTATATCAAAGGAGCCAAGAATATACAATGGAAAAAGGACAGTCTCTTCAACAATTGTGGTGGGAAAACTGGATTGCCACAAGCAAAGGAATGAAACTGGACCACTATCTTATATCATATACAAAGCTCAACTCAAATTGGATTAAAGACAAACATAGAACATGAAACCATAAAACTCCTAAAAGAAAATGTAGGCAGTAAGCTCCTTCATATCAGTCATGAAAATATTTTTTTAAATTTGACACCAAAAGTAAAATAAACATCAAAATAAACATCAAACTAAAAAGAGAATGCAGCAAATTTACTCAGAAGCTGTTGCAATTCAGCAGAAATGGCAAAAGCTTGAACTAAAGCTGTACAGGGAAGATGGAGAGGTCATGGTTGTGAAAGATAATGCAGGCATGTCCAGCCTTTTGGTGTCTCTGGGCCACACTGGAAGAAGAGTTGTCTTAGGCCTCACATTAAATATACAAACACTAATCAAAACTTATGAGCAAAAAAGGGTTTTAAGTAAATTTATGATTTTGTGTTGGGCCTCATTCATAGCCATCCTGGGCCATGTGTGGCCCGTGGGCCACAGGTTGGACATCCCTGTAAGAGATACTAAAGAAGTAACAGCTCTAGGATGTGGTAAATGATTGGATGTGAGTGTTGGGGGAGAGGAAGGCATCCAGCTTGGTACCCAGATTTTTAGGTTGGGAAGCTACAGGTTGATGAGGGCATTTCTGAGATAGGAATTCAGGGTAAGGATAAGATTGAGGGCTCAACATGATGAACACAAATTTTATCATGCTGTGGAACTTAGGAGAGAAGACATCCCATAGACTTCAGGACAGATTATCTGGGCTACAGATGTGTATCTCAGTGTCACCAGCATATAGATGGTGGTTGGACTTCAAAGAACAAGAGGACCAAGGATGGTCAACAAGATCAATAATAAGTGTTATATATTTTCTCAGTTCAATAAGTGGCCCAAGTATGGGTGAACTCCCTTCAAACCCCAGAATTACTTCATATCCTGGGATATTCTGACTTAGTGTATTACTATCATATTATTTACCAATGTAGTTGGTACTTAATAAACACCTATAAACTCTATGACTTCACGCTTTCAAAAACCTATTTGATCAAACAGAAAAAAAAAAACCATGTGATTTATTTATAGGGATTTCTCTGAATTATCAGCCCATTGTCGTGGGAAAGCACTGGTCCAGGAATAAGACCCTCCAGACTGTGTTCTTGTTTTTGCACTAATTCATATGTGATAATAGAAAAACCCCCTTCCATCACTGACCTTCAGTGTCTGCACTTGTAAAATCACAGGGCAGGGCCCCATCCAACTCTGTTATTTTATATTGTCCCCAACTTTTAAAAGGAAGTATCTATCTCTCTAGTGAATTTCAGCTGAAGGTTTATAACCTTTCAAAAAATGTGCAGCGTGCAGAACTCCTAACCAGCAAAGCCTAATGTGGTAAAGGGGGTTTCTTCTCTCTGCCTAGTAATTTTCTCAGTAGCAGAACATAATTGCTACGTGGGTTCTAAAAATGAAGATAGGCTAAAATTTGCATCATACCCAAGATAAACAGTGATACCAAAATAGAAGGTTTGTACAATGAGAGGACTGAGAACAGACTGAGAACAGGAGTGAACTAACTCCAACAAAGGTGCTGCTTGGAAAATATATTGGAGAGAACATC